CCCCAAAACCCCAAAACCCCAAAACCCCTCGTGACATAAAGTCATTATTATTAGTGGAAATTAAGATAATCTATTGAGTAATATAATATCTTTAGATAAATAAATGGCATTAGTACTATACTAAGGTGATCAAGGCAATAACCAATCTGGTGGTGCTGGTGGCTAAGTAGGTTTTGGCAGGCAAGATTTCAGTGATGTCCCCACCGAAGCTTAGAACATTTAAAGTACTTTGGAGTCGCTGCAAAGCAAAGAGAGGAAAAAGAAGTATATCGGTTTAGCTAATCAAGGTGGTACATGCTACATGAATAGCTTGCTATAATCTCTTTACATGACTCCTGAGTTCAGACAATTCATCTACTCTTTTAACTATAACTCAGATTTGCATGGCAACAAGGATTATTGTATCCCGTTCTAGCTTTAGAGATTGTTCGCGAATCTATAATTGTCAAGAAGCAATTATGTGTAGACTAGAAGCCTGACCAAAAGTTTTGGGTGGGAGTCGAATATGAGCTTCGAACAGCATGACATTTAGGAATTTTGTAGAGTCTTGTTTGATGCTATAGAGCAGAGCTTTGCAATAGTTGGGTAAGAGTGTAACATGATAAATACAATGTACCAAGGCGAGTCTCAAAGCTACACCAAATGTAGAGAATGTGGATATGAGTCGGCTCACAAGGACAGATTTTTAGATCTTTCACTTCCAATCAAGAATGAATTTGGAACTGGCGTGTTAAACTCCAGTCTTGAAATGGCTCTGGAAAATTACATCAAGCCTGAACTACTAAATGAGTCAAATCAGTACTTCTGCGAGGACTGTAATAAGAAAGTAGATGCTGACAGAGGCATGAAATTAACCAAATTACCACCACTTTTCGACATCCAGCTGAGCAGATTCACTCTTGACTGGAATACCTTTTAAAGAATCAAAATTTATGACAGTGTCTCCTTCCCATTTTACTTGAATATGAATGACTACATGAAAGGATATGAAGGCATTGAGAATAAAGTTTATCAAAAGGAAGTCGAGAGAATGCAGTAATTTGCAAAGGCTTAAATTGAGAAAAATCAAGAGTAGGAACTACAAAAGAGATAAAAGCTGGACAAGCCTTAAAACTAGTAGAATGAGCAAAGTTCAAATCATGATTCAGTAGAAAATTCAGAGAGAGACTAAATGGCTTAAGAAGATAAGACAGCTGAAAATGTTGAGATGAAAGATCAATCAACGAATGAAGAAGCAAAAGAACACAAAAAGCTAGAAAAAGGAGTAAAGATTAATGTTCAGATGAACCAAGATTAAAGCAATAATGATTAGCCAGTAGTAACCGATGAAGACTATGAAGATAATCCTTATTTATATGCTACTGGTGGTCCCAAAAAGAAGATAGACTACACAAAACCCGAAGGAGATGATGATGGCTTCAATTCGTACGATGCTGCTTAATACGATTCGCAGTTTGATGGAGATAACTATAAAGTTAAACATAAGAATGAAAAGTTCGCCCTCTTTCCTAAGCAATAGTAAGTGATACTCTAGCAAACTGAAGAGGAAAAAGAGCTGGCTTAGGCACTAGAATAAATAAGAGATCTAGAGGAGAAAGAAAGACTTACTTTAGATACAGATAATCAGTTACTTGAATTTCTGAAGCAAGGAGATTTTGTATATGAGCTTTATTCAGTACTGATACATTCAGGCAGTGCAATGGGAGGACATTATTATTGCTACATTAAGTCTACAGATGATGGGAAATGGTACAATTTTAATGACACTAGTGTGAGTGAGATTCAGCAAGATGAGGTTCTAAAGACATTTGGAGATAAGTTTGGCTCTGGAGGTGGAACTGCTTACCTTCTTAAGTACAGAAAGTATAATCCAAATGATATCGAAAATCCACTGATTGTAGATGACAGTATAATTCCTAGTTATTTAAGGTCGGAGATAGACGAGGAAACTGAGAAACTTATAAAAGAATAAATGGACATTGAGGAAAGAGTTATGAGCCTAAAACTAAAGATATACCATAACGACGAAGTCAAGACTCTTACAGTTAGAAAGAATGAGACTCTTAAGGACACATGTCTCAAAATTATGGAAGAGTTTAAGATTACAGATGTTGATTTTAAGAACTTCAGATTGAGAGCTTACGATGCAATGCTTAAAGCTAAGTTACAGGTTTATGACTAGTTCGATCAGTAGCTTCACAAACTTAACTTCTAAAACTTTATCACGCTACTTGTTGAACTCAAAACTGAGGATTAGGAGTTTGAGGCTTATGACCCTAATAATCACTATTTTAGAGTTCTTAAATTTGTTGAAGATGTTCACTATGACTTCAGCAAACAGGATACGCTGCCAACACAACTGATAGTAGTCAATAAGAAATAGGAGACTGTTGCTGATTTAGACAAGAGACTGTCTGAGATGTTTGACATTCCAGTTGAAAGACTCGTGATATTCCTGAGACATGAAAATATCTATAACAATACAGTGAGGACCGAGCTATATAACATTGACTGGAGAAAGAAGATGACTATTGAAAATGGTGCTAAGTTAGACCATGGATGCATAATGTATGTTGAAGAAGGTGATCCAAAGTAAAAGCTTGATGATTTCAACTGGCACAAGGAATTCGTCAAAGATCAAGAGTAGCTTAAAATCTTATTCCATGATCCAATTAATGATCCTGATGCGAATGTGTTTAGCTTCTAGATCTTTATGAAGAAGTCTAACACTCTCTTAGAACTTAAGCAGAGAATTTCAGAGTTGATTGGACTTAGTACTTCTGAATTTGTGTTAAAGAAATACAGATAATAGAGGGAATTCAAAAATCTTAACTCGACTCTTGTTTAACTAGGGCTTTAGTCTGGATCATTAGTTAAAGTCGAAAAGGGTAAACCTCATTAAGATGGATTATTTGAACTAAGCATCTTAGACATTCAATTATTAGACGATGCTCCCACAGATGATACTATATTTGTTAAGAACCCACTTTTCAAACTTTCAATTGAACCAGATGCCACAGTGCTTGAGCTAAAGCAAAGAGTAATTTAAAAGTATAATGAATAGTTCCCTGACAGTCCAATTACTCTTGAATCATTCAGACTCAGAAATCCTAAGATTGATGACCTTGGAGATGTGATGCAAAATGACGAACATTTGGAATCCTTCTATCTATATGATGATAAGGAGATTTTCCTTTAGAAAATTGTCCCAGAAAGAAACTTCTCCTGCTTTAATGAGTTGATGCCCACTAATGTTTATCATCTCTTAGTGAGAGAATGGAATCCAGAGACTTGGCTTTTTGGACCTATATATGAGCTTAAAATTGATAAAAGCATTCATGCTTCAAAGCTATCCAAATTCTTGAGTGAGCAAGTATTTCCACATATTCCAAATGAGACACTGTTTTGCAGTAAAGTAAATAACATCAAGCAATTCAAAAGAGCAGATTTAGCGTTGAAAAAATGGAATAGACTAATGCACCAAACAGTGTGGCTTGGGCAGAGTACTCTTGAAATCAACAGAGACTCAGTTTACATCATTGTCAAGGACAATGAAATTAAGATCAGGGATAATCTTACTGAAGAAGAGGTAAAGAAGTATGCAACCAACTAGTACTTAGATCACATTGCTAAAAAGCACTCTAAAGAAGTTGACTTCTAGCACAGAGATGCATTGTTCGATGCAAGTCAAGCAGTTAAGCCAGACTATACTAAAAATAGAAGAGCTGAAAAAGGTATCAAAATCACAGTCGGAGGACCTCAGCCTAAGCCGCAAGAAGTATAGCCAGAATAGAGCAGTAAAGACGATAGCTAGAAAAAAGATGAAAAAAAGCCAGCTGCCTAAAATAATTAATAAGAAGAAGATATGGAAACTGATGAAGATGGCGGAGGTGTCTTCATTGAAGCTCTATTTTGAAATTCGCTAATAATTTATTCTAACTATAATCCAAAGATTGATTCTAAATATTAAGCTTAGGGGTTTTGGGGTTTTGGGG